AGATAACTTGACTATTTAGAATGATAATAAAAATGTTTATAGCATGTGAAAAAGTGAAATTAATTACAGTAGCAGTACAAGAGATGGGCGGGAGGAATTGGGATAACTGTTATAAGATCTTACACTACATGTGAAGCAGCACTATAATATTTGAAGGTGGACTTAGATTATTTAAAAGTATTTATCATAAGCCCTAGGGTAAACACTAAAAATGGTAACACAAAAAGGTATAAAAATAAATTGAATATATTTGTGTGGGTTTAGTTTTGGGCTTCTTATTCTGTTTCATTATCTATCCAACTATCCTTTTACCACTGTCTTTTTATTACTATACCTTTATAATTAACCCTTCCATTTTGGTCTTCTTCAGAAGTATTTTGCTATTCCAGTATTTTTTTTTTTTAATTTTTTTAGAATCAGCCTGTTGGTAGCCATACAAAAACTTTCTGGAATTTGTGTTGGTGTTATACTGGGAGAACTGACATCTTTGCCATGTTATATCTTTGCCATAATAATCCATGAATATATATCTCTATATTTAGATCTTCCTTCATTATTTCAGCAGTGCTTTGTAGTTTGTGGTGTAACATGATTCCTGACCATATTTTGTTAGATTTACACCTAAATATTACATTGGAGAAGGAGGTGTTATGATGAATGGTACTGTCTTTGAAATTTCAAAATCCAGTCGTTCATTGCTGCTATCTAGACAAATGACTGACTTTTTTGTAATCCTGCAACTTTTCCAAACTATTAGTTCTAGGAGCATTTTGGTAAGTTTTGGGGGGAAGACAAATATCTTTTGTGAATAAAGATAGTTTTATCTTTTTTTTCTAGTTTGTATTCCATGTCTTATTCTCGCTTCATTGCACTGGGTTTATTTTGAATAGGAGAGAGAACAGAGAACATCGTTGTCTTATTTCTGATCTTAGTGTGAAATGGTAAATCACCATTAAGTAAGAAAAATATTTTTAGGAAAAAGGTAAGTCCTTCTCATAATACAATAATTGATACTAACTTTAAAGTGGTCATCTTGGAGAAACCACACTCTCACCGTATAAATATGGTATAGAAATAAGCTGGATCCAGTTAAAAATTGGACCCCTGCAAATATGCATTTAATGTGTTAATCCTGAAAAAGTGTAAAACAAGGTAGCCCCGAAGCATGAAGTCAATAGAGCCATGGAGTCAATGAAAATTGCTGCATAGCATACAATAATATTTACAAATCAGGGCACTTAGACCAGCCCTGCTTAGTGTTTTTGAGCTGGCAGAGTTGTTCCCTTGGGCAACTCAGTCATAACCTTAAAGGCATTTTTACATATGTAAAAGCTCTCACCCCCCACTGAAGCCTGTGCCTTGTGAAGTGTCTTTGGTGTTGGTAACCTGCTGCCTGGGGGTGGTACACTGGGCCACCAGGATGGTCTAGTAGGGGCTGGAAGAAGTATACCTACAATGCGTGGCAAGGCCACATAACTTTCCTGCCTAGATTCTTTTAGAAGTAACTGACTCTGGTGCTCAAGAGAAGGTTTGGAACTACCATTGATCAGAGTGATCAGAAATGGATTGGCACCTGGCATTAACCTTCCATTGGCAAAAACAACTTGGTATTCAAGTACAAGTTGGAGGGTAGGTGGTGTTCTATACAAGCAAATAGAGGAGTAAAGAAAGTAGCTGCCATTTGTATTTTGTCCTTCTTGGGGAAAGAATTCAGGTTATTTTGCTTTCTTCCTTATTCTTGTATATTTTGAATTATTACAGCCAGACTATTTCATTTTTATAATCGGAGAACAAAACAAGACAAAAAAGCAATTTCACTTTGGAAAGGTGGTGGCTAACAATCAAATTTCTTTTTCCTTGAATAGTTTCAAATACAAAAATTGTAGCTCACCACTACTCTGAGGGATTAGAAAACCTCATTTGACTTTTATGTTTCTCCCTCAATTTACTGAACTAGACTTGGAATCTTGCAGCTCTACTTGGGGGAAAATGGAAGGAGAAACCAATCTTGGCTTTGACTTATGCTAATTCAATGTAGAGCCAAACTGGTGCTTTTCTGGGCATATATCAGCTGTCTTTTAGTAATTTGTGATCCTGACCAGACAGAGTCTAGAACTTTTTTCTTCTAGCATTGAGATAAAGTGCTATTTCTACATATAAATATGTAAACTTATTGCTCTGGAGAAGAGTGTGACCTGTTCAGATTCTCAAGAATTCTTACAATAGATTTCCAACATCGACCCCTAAAGTTTATTCTATAATATTGATCCTGAAATTTATATGCCACTATCAGTTCAAATTCCTTTAAAAATAAAAACATTTATATTCCTATAATATCCTCCATTGTCAATGTTTACTTTGTTTAAATATAGCTCTTTCCTGCAGATAGACATTTAAGTTTTTAAATGATTTATAAGCTCATCTTTTCTTCAAACTTCTCCAGAAAGAGTTATTCCCGAGTCACTCTGGTCTGTGAACTTTTACTATTAATTATCACTTCCATGTTAGCTTTTCCCCTCTCCCCCCCCCCAGGTTTCTCCTGCTTCACTTGAGCAAAGTGAATGTTCCCCTTGTAGGGAGCTTTTGTCATTCTTTTTGCTGTTGCTAGAGCCCTCCTTCCTAGGTTTTGGGAATTGCCGAGTGGCGGTCTTGTTGGGAGGTAGAGTTTCACTTCACTCTAAATGTCCAAAGGCCAGACGCCACTTATCCAGCCCCCGGCAGGCAGTTAGGGCATTGCCCGAGACCCAGACTTGATTAGGCAAATGCATTCACCCCAGACTTTCAATAGGGACCTAATTAGTGGTGCACAAACTGTGATCATGAAAAATCCATCGTGGCAACTGCACCAGCGCCACTGGGGCCAGTGTCGAGCACGCAGGGTCAGCAGAGGCAGCAGGGCAGGCCTTGGCATCCAGATTAATGATAGCGGTGGTTGAGTGCACTGGTTGGGCCTGTCTGCTGCCTAGCCTCCCTTGTCATAATCAGTTTTCCAAACCTGCTTCTCTTGCTTTCCTGGCAGATTGTGAGGTATATACAGGGCCCGGAGAAAAACACTTCCCTAGGTGTAGGGAGAGCAGCTGGGGAGAATCCCTCCTGTGATGAACAACAACGCACAGTCTCCTGGGGCGAAGTCCAGGCCAAGCCACGTGGAGCCTCTTCCTTTTTCTCCTCCGTCTCCGTCCACCGCATGCCTTTCCAGTGGGCCTCCAGTCTGGAGACCAGGCTCTTTGCATAATTCCTCTACCAGTCTCCAAGAGAAAGTGATAGTCAATATCTTTTTTTGATTCAGCCATGAGATTATTTCCAGATGATGTCTGGAGTTTGTATATGCAATATCGCCAAGTAAGGAGGGTCTCCAAAGAAGAGAGTTGAAAAGAAACTAAGAATTTTTCTTGCTGTTCTTGCACTGATGGCAGAGCAATGACTTGTCTTCCTGCGTTTTAAAGGAAAAGTTGTTCTGTAGTCTTCTCCGCATGAAAGAGTGTCTGCCTGTCTTCCCTAGCCATTTGAACCATATCACTCAAAGTCAGTGGGCAATATATAAAACTTTTTGACAAGTCTCCTGCTTTCCTGCATCCAAATAAATAAACAGAATATACGCATTTCCACCAAAGGCAGCAGGACAAGACATCCCATTTCATGCTTCAGCAATCTGAGTAAGGAAACAAATATAGATTTTTTTTCTTCCAAATGCCTTTAGGTTATAAGGCAAGTTGATTAAGGCCTCCCTTTAAGCCCCACCAGAGAAATAAATGGATAATGGAGTGCGCCTACCTACCCTTAAAGAGAAAGAGGTTGTGTCTAATATTGACTCTCCTAATCAGTTTGACATAAAGCATATTTCTTACAGATGTGGCACTCGGGCTCATCTCGTGTGCAGGAGAGATGAAAGCCATATGGATTTCAGTTTCCTGTTAGCCGAGAATAAATTAAATTATGTTATTTTCTCCTGTTTACCACTCCTGTGAATTCAATTTCTATGTAGACACGTCAGATATTTCTTTAAGGGAGGAGTTAATAAATTGCTTTTTCCCTTTTATCATACAGATATGATTCTTGCCTTTCCTTCCTTCCCCTCACTGGCAATAAAATAATACAGAACACAAAAACAGAAAAAAATGAGAAGAGAGTTTGGGGATTGTGACATTAAATGTGACCTTGGGGAGTCCGCAGAAGAGCTAATCATAAATCCTGGCGGTCCATGGATAAAATGATTCCCAGAAGTCCCCAAAGCTTAGTGATGCTCTTGACAAAGAGAGCCAGTTCCTCCAGATTTTGAGTAGGGTATTATATTAGTTAATTATATTAGTTCGTTATATTAGTTAATGTAAAGCTAGCTGTTGTAGCAACTTCATTGTCTCTGGTTTAGCAGAAAAGTTTCAAGGTTTCACTTTTTTTTTTTTCTTAATGTTTCACTTATGTAGAAGTTCATGCAGCAGTGGGAATGCAGGTGGGGTGGAGTGGATTCTGCTTCTTGTAGGCAATTAGAAATCCAGTCTGAGAAAGAGAATTGCAAGGTATACTTTATGGGCAGGACTAAAAGTGGGGTTCTTACCTCTATAGCCATTTTCTTTGTCAAACACTCTCCCATGGTCTGGGGAGCTGGAAAATATCTTGTGGCCATGAGGTCCTGGAGGGAAAGGGTCAGTTAGTCTCTGGTTCCTTTGGAGGGATTAGAATTTTCATCTGAGGCCATTTGGGAATTTGGGACCCAGATAATCATTATTAAATTATAATGTTCATGTTATATGCTTATTCTATCATGAATATTTTTGCTCATTTCATAGTCATATTTTTTAATCATACGGTTCACTTATTTTAATTTGTCATGATACCAATCTTTTTCCATTGGACTGTACAATTTTACACTCCTAATTTAGATTAATCTTCCAATCAGATATACTATGTCTTGATATAAATTTTTTTTTTCCTAGATGAGTATATGTGTGTGTTTTCTAAACCTTTACATACCTGAGACTGTTTTTCTGTTGTCTTCACAGCTTCACTGTGTTAAGAGCTGCAAAGCAGGAATGATTGCTGATTATCACATGTGGGCAATCTAAAGCATGTGTAGGGGCAGAGGAAAGCTGCTTCTCTGGCCACTGACGACTCGCTGAAATGACTGACAGCAGATAGATCAATAGGAGAAAAAGGCATACACCTGTATCCATATTCATATGGACATGGGAGTTCTGCAAATCTGAGACTCAACGAAGGCAAGATTCCTGATGCTTAAATAACTCCCTCACAGAAAAGAGGAAAGTTGGGGGCTGTAAACAATTTTATAGGAATAGTAAATGATTTTTAGGGGAAATGAATGAGTCCAAAAAATAATTACCTGCGACAAAGTTCCAGATGAGGGGAAGGTGGAGGGCAAAAGTTCACTGAACAAAGCTTGTCTTATTCTGCAGATAAAGTCTTCCAGGTAATACTGTTAAGTAGATAGTGAAGGACCTCCAGCTGTCCCAGGGACAAAGGGGGGGAGCCCCAGCTTGGTCCTGCCTTGAGCAATTGCCACACCTGTGGGGCAATTACCACCTGTGGGGGAGGAGGAATGCCCTGCCCATCTGCAAAAGAATGAAGGGGGTTTTTCTCAGCTCCTGTGCCAGGCAGCCCAGGCACAATATGATCTGGAAAGTGACCTAGAGTAGCCTAAGCCTAATTATTATTAACTGGCCATGCAAGTGGTTCCATGGTGACAGGAGGAGGGCCCATTCTGACAGTACAAAACAGGACCCCAGACCATAACCAGAGCCTCTCGTTAGGACGGGGGGCTTATTCGTTATCTGTGGCGAGTGGATCTTGCTCTTTCCCTACAGACCTATCTTGCTCTTCCTCAGTAAACTTTGTTTCATGCTTACCTTGCTTTTGGTGAGCCTGGCCTGTCTTCAGCCAAGAGCACACCGAGAAGTGAGAACATGATTGTCGACCCGACACTATCTTTGATTTGCCCTCCAAAGAATAGATGAAAAGTCCATTTGAGCATAGGGATCACTTTTAGACTGTTTTCTCCTCTGGCTATTTGACGAGTTTCCTAGGGAGGGGCTCTTAAGACAATTGCATTTCTTTTGGAGAGAAATTTTCTTAGTCAAATAAGGAAACTCTAGATAGAGTCCCTCCCATCCCTTGGGGAGAAAGTAGATCAGAGAGACAGAAGGGCAGGGAAAGGTCAGAGAAAGAACTTGGTTCTGAGGCTTATTTTTGAGGACTTCTTATTTTAGTTCAAAGTGTTCAGCATGCCAAAGAGCCAAACTTTAGGGATGTTATGTTCTAAGCTCCAACATATGCACTAATTCCATTTTTTTTGAATTGACAAAAATAAAGAAGTTTCCGTATCTTCTCCTTTAAGTGTCACTAGCATAGTTTCTCCTTTCAGAAGAGTAATTGAGAAGGAAAACTTCCACCATGCAGGGAATATTTACAGAGGCCACCCCTGATCTCTTCACTTTGAAAATTACAGAAAATCCTGCAATTTATAGTAACATTAAAACTATTGCACTTTGTTAGAATAGTTGAACAATTTCTTAAGAATCTAGCAGTTGCCAATATACATCATGAAAACCTCTGAACAAAAGACTTGTTAGTCACTAAAAATATTCAGCCAAAGACAGTTCTGCTCACAGTTTAGGGGGAAAAGCTTCCTTTAAGATGTTTAAATCTCTTTGTGCTGTATTCACATTGCTGCTGATACCCCACATTTATATATACACACACACACTCTCACACACACACACACACACACACACCTCTGTTTTTAGGAAGCTTTATTTTTTAGGGTGGTTAGAAGGTTAAGTTGTGACTTTCAAGTCTCAGATTTAGCGAAAAAGAGTAAAGAAAGCCAGGCTCACCTGATGCTTAAACATTTTTTTCTACCTCAGCAGATGCTTTATTCATGCTAGAAATTGAAAAGTATATAGAAAAGGAACAATTTTTAATTTTCAAAAATTTAATACTTCCAACTTTATTTAAACTGTTTCACAGAATATAAAAAGAAAGGCTTCCAGATATTTTTTCCTTCAGGTAATATTTGTGCCATCCCCCTGTAAAGTTTTCCAGAGGCGAAAGACATAGAGGGAGAGTGGGGCCAAACAATGTGGCTTTATTGAGCACTCCTGGGCGAGGTTCATGGGTCCCCAGAGAGGGGTGCCCAAGAGGTCGTGTCCATTTGGAGGTAGGTGCGGGCCTTTATACTGTTTGGGGCAGGCTAGGGACTTTTGGCGGGAAGAGCTGGGGATTTTCCACTGTGACCTTCGGCGGTTATTGAGAAATAGGAGGGGCTGGTGGTATTTGCAGAATCCAGGAACCGAAAATTTTCTTATCTGGGTGGACATCCAGGTGGTGGTGTTTTCGGCAGGGCCTGGCAGTTGTCCTTGGTGGGTCTGGTCCTTGGCGAGTCTTTTCTCTTTGATCTAGGGAGGGGAGGGGGACCCATCACCAGCCTTACACCCCCAATAAAAGAAAGGGGGGAAAAGTAACACACACAGTCTGTTTTCAATACAAAGCCAGAGTGATCCTCTTAAAATGTAGAGCAGATTGTGCATCTTCTGTTACCAAATCTCCCCAACAAATCCCTGGAAAACCCAGAGTCCTTGCAATGGCCTTTGAGGCCCTATGTGATCTGCTCACTCCACTCTAGCCAGATGCAGGTGTCCTCAAAGCTTAGAAATGATGCCCTTTGCTGCTTCCTCTGGAAGAATCTTTCCTCAAATGTCCTCTTGGCTAATGGCTCCTTCAAGTCTTTCTCAAATCTTACCTTTTATAAATGAGGTCTGTCCTAATCACCTATAATTATTCTACCTAAATTATCAACTAGCTCCCATGCCTTCTCTGGATCCCCCTTCCTTGCTTTTGCTTGTTTGTTTCTGACATCACTTGCCATGTTGTACCACATTTTGTAAATGATCTATTATTTGTCTTTGTTTACCTCTACCAGAGTGTAAATTCTAGAAATAGCAGCCATTTTCGTCAATTTTGTTTGCTTACGTATTCCAAACACCTGGAAATAGTGTCTGGAACATGGTAAAAATCTCAGTATAAATGTGTTGAATTAAATGATTCTTTCTTTAAAAATTTTATTCTTAACTGTTTTCTTTTCTCATTTTGGAAACTACTATTTATATATTGAACCTCCTGGAGTGATCCACTAATTGACCATGTTTTCATTTGCTATCTCTGTAATATCTACAGATCTGCATCTATAGTCGTACTTTAAAAGAATAAGTTTGACCTTTTTCCTTTTGACAATGTAAGATCAGGCTTTTTAACCATAGGGTTTGAAATCTCTTGGTGTTCTTATACAGAACCATTAATAGGAGTTCTACAAAGCTCAGATTGCTTTGGAGTACCTAACTTGAAAGATAAATGAATATTCCAACTTGTCCAAAAATGTCTAACATATAGAGTTTAATTACTTTCTATGACCCTCACTGACCCTGGTTAATGAGGTCAACAGCGGCCTTAGTAATCACGGACTTGAATTTAACTGTGTAGTCAGCGATGGCAACCTATGGAAGACACAGACCCCTTGGGTTAAATACAGAGCTTGCTTCCATGTCTTCTGCTGGCTCCCCTTTGACTAATTTCTCCTGATCTTTTTCACTGACTCCTCTTCCTTTACCATTCCCTTTGATTTTAGGGTTTCCCAGAGGTCACTCCCAGGCTTACTTTCTCACCCTACACATCTGCCCTGGGACAATCTTACCTGCATGGCTTCAAACCACCTGGATGACAAGGACTCCAGTCACCACCTATGTCTGGATCTTTCTTCGGATGTACAATCTCTTTGAGGTCAAGCCTTTGCTTGCCTCTCTTTGCATTTTTTTTTTAATTTTCATTTTTTTTTTTTACTTCTTGAGCTTCTTGTCTCTTCTGATTAAATTTTAATAAAAATAACTAGATATTTATGGGAGTACAATGTGATGTTTTGATACATGTACACACACATTGTGGAACATGGATAAACCTAGAGGACACTATTTTAAGTGACATAAGCAAAGCAGAGAGACAAATACTGCGTGATCTCACTTATTTGTGGAATCTAAAAAAGTCAAACTCACAGAAGCGCCAAGTAGGATGAGGGTTACTGGAGGCTGAGGGCAGTTGTTGGGGGGGAAAAGGAGATGTTGATCAAAAGGTCAGACAGGAGGGAATAAGTTCTGGTGATTTATTGCACAGCACAGTGACTATAGTTAATAATATCTATTTCAAAATTGCTGAAAGAGTGGATTTTTAAATGTTCTCACCACAAAAAAGTAACAAGTATGCTAACTTTTCTTATCACAGATTGATGTTTCCAAACTAGTGTTGATGAAGGGGGATAGACTAGAAATGAGGACTGGCATTCTTTCACATTGGTTTTGGTAAGATAAAATTGGTAAATTTGGTAAGATAAATACTCCTGGAGTTCAATTTGACATGCCTATCCAATTTTAAGTAGGCATTTCCTTTAATCTAGAAATTCTACTACTAGGAATTTACACTTGCAGTTTATTCTAAGAAGAAAATAGGACATGTGAAACAAAACATACTTATAAGGGTCTTAATTATGTTTACATTATCAAGAAAGGAGTGACTCCTTTTTCATGGGATATGCATACAATGATATACAAGGCAGCCATTGAAATGGTCATGTGTGTTTATTCATAGACATAGAAAGTCATCTCTAAGTTGCTAATAGAAAAGGGCAGGATACAAAACGTTGTAGATATTAAGACCGAATTTTATAAAAATACGTTTATGTACATTTCATCATAAAAATTCTGAAGAGTTATACATCAGAATGTAACCAGTAGTTCTCTCTGGGTACTAGCAGGGGGTTACTGGTGATTGTCTCATTGTTCTTTACAATTTACTATCTGAATATGCATGTAGTAGATCTGTATTGCTTTTGTAATTAGCAAAAGAATAGTTTTATTTTGAAAGATAAATGAGTTGTTGCTTTGAAGAATGTCTACATACACCTGTAAAAAAAAAAAAAATAGAAATAATCTGTCTTAGACTTCATTGCAACAATGTTAACACAATCTCCAGCCCAGACCTTTCTCCCATTTGCTGTAGTTGATGTTACTCAGCAAATGTATATTGAACCCCTGTAATGTGCTCAATCTTTATATATACAGCTGCTTATTGGCTATTTCCATGTGACTGTCCCATATCCTCCTGAAGTCAATACATCTAAACCTAAATTTACCATTATGTCTTGAAATCCATCTCCTCCTGTATTCCTAGTTGGGCTAGCAGTATCTTCACCAACCTATATGGGAATTCCAGGGGATGTCCCTAGTTCTCCACTTAGTCTACCCACCACAGTTAGTATGCACCAGTCCTGTGGCTTTACTATTCTTTACAATCCATCCCCTCTTCTCCATACCCCATTCAATGGCCCTAGCTAAGCCCTCATCCTTGCCCCTTTGGACTGTCGCAATTATCTCCTACACTCCTAGACCATTAAACACATAATATCCTAAAAACACACCTCCATGCTGTGGCTTAGACTGCTCCTTCTTCCCACTCCCTTTCTTCCTCCCACGTTGTCTACAGGAAGATTGGCCGGTCACATTTCAAGGCTTGGTTCCAATGTCATCGTCTAACCTTTCTGTTGTAATTGACAAGTCTTCACTTGTGGGCCCAGTGGGTCCCCTAGTAATGATGGTATTGGCTAACATTGACCGAGCTCTCATTGTAGGGCAAGCACCATTCTAAGTGTTTCACATGTTTCATTTCATTTAATACTTACAACAACCCTATGAGGTAGGTACTAGTATTATC